CCTGATTTCATTAATTAATCTTCAAGTGGAACCAAAGCATATTTAGAACATTTATGGGATTTCCTATGGAATATCATCACTTCTGGTTCACTGCATCTTGCTGGGTTTGGTCATCATTATTTGGATTGTTGCGTTTGGCAATGGTCCTGGAAATACAATTTACTTTATGCTACAACCACGTCTAGGGAAAACCTGTGACTCCACTGTGGAGTGAAATATGGCGTACCCTCCCTGGCTTTGTGTTCTCCGTTTTGGAGATACTTCAAACTAGAGATGATGTATTTTTCAAACTTTAGAACTCCAGTGTGGGAGGTAGAGTTAAAACACTGCAAACACGTTTTGAAAAGCATTTCAAAGGGAGTCCTCTTCAAAATTGTATAAAAATACAATTATACTCTGTGGTAAAGAGAAAGGTTGAAAACAAGCAACAATGAAACAAGGTGTTTGCTGCCTGCATTAGAATGGAGGGGTGGGGATGCAGAACATTCTCACCATAGGCTTCATGAGCAAGGTATACATTTGTATGTCTGAAGAGTAGTTTGGCTCAAAGAATAACTAAAGCCATATGAGGCATTTTATGATAGGCTTTTACAGTTCATTAAACATTCATTACAAAGGAGATCTCAGTGGTGATTCAGTAGTAGAATTTTCACCTTCCATGTGGGAGGCCCAGGTTCAATTTACAGCCAATATACCTCAAACACAGCTACCACCTACTTGTCAGTGGAAGCTTGTGTGTTTCTAGGAAACTTAACAGATTTCAGCAGCGCTTCCAGATGAAGCTGGAGTTCTGGTAGCATCGTGGTTAAATGTTGAGCTGTGATCCTCAAGGTCAGCGGTTTGAAGCCACCAGTAGCTCTGCTGGAGAAAGAGGAGGCTTTCTACTCCTGTCAAGTGTGATTGTCTCAGAAGCACACAGAGGCAGTTCTAGCCTGTGCTATTGGGTCACTATGCGTCAGCATTGACTCAATGGCCGTGGTTTTTGTGGTCAGGCCCTAAGTAAGATGGTGATCTATTCCTGAATTTGCCCATGAGAACCCTCTCAATCACAATGGTCTGATCTTCCACTTTTGATGTGGTTGGCGCAGACTTGGGCAGTGTTTCCTTGTGTGGTCTATGGGTTGCCTTGAGTTAGAACCAACTCTGCAGCAGCGAACAGTAACATCTCTCAAAGGAGATTTGGAAGTGAGGTAGACAAGAGAGTCAGCTCACTCCCCTCCAGTCTTCTCTTGTGTGTCTTCAGCAGAGGAAGCCCCCACGTACATCTTTCACACTTGCTCTATGAGTAGAACGGTGCACATACTTCTGCAAGAGAACCCTTTAAACATCCACGTTGCATAAGATAATAACAAAGATACAAGCAGCAAGAGACAAGATAAAAAAATGAGATTTCATAAAACTGAAAAACTTCAGTTCATCCAAAAACAGTGAAAATATTTCACTTGTATTTGGTAGAAGCCACATATTCTATTTGAACCTAATAACAAAATATAAGTAAATATTTGACAGCTTAACGACCAAAGGACGAATAACCAAAATGCAAAGTGGTCAGTGGGCTTAAGTGGACATTCAGGACAGTGGGCGAGCATTCAAAGGACCGCCAAGGACATGGGGTGCTGCCCAACATTATTAGCCATTGGAGAACATGCCAATCCAGCCCATGATCAGATATTGTATCCCCCCATTATAATGGCTAATAGTAAAAATACATAAAGAAATGAAACAAAACAGAAAGTAACAAATATTGGTGAGGATGTAGGGGAAACTGAAATCTTCACCCCTCACTGAGGGGGAGGAAAATTGTGTAGCCATTGTGAAAACACTGTGGCACTTCCTCAAAAACCTAAAAATAAAGCCCAGATGACCCAGCCATTCCATTGCACTGGCGTATGCCCACACGACGGAAAAGCAGACACCCAAACAGGGACTTGCACACCCGTGTTCAATGCAGCACCCTTCCCCATCATCAAACGATGGAGTCAACCTAAATAACTGTCAATAGATGGACAGGTCGACAAAGGTGACACCTACGTACAATGGGACACAGCTACGTCAGAGAAGAAACGAGCTCTTAATGCATGCTACCATATGAACGGAGCTTAGAGACAGTATGTGGACAGAAATAAATGAGTTACAAAAGATAAATATTATATGATCTCACTTATATTAAAAAGATAAGAAAAGGTCGAGATATAGAGACCAAAGTTTATTAGTGGCTACCAAGGGGGCGGGGTAGGGGAGGGGCAGTAGCTAAAGGTGATTAAAAAAAACCCCATTGCATGGTGAGGGTTCCACAGCTCATTATTTAATTGCTGTCAGTAAGTTTTGCACCTGCAAAATACTGAATGGACAAAAGTTGTGTCATAGGTGTGTTTACGATGACAACAAAAAGAGTAGCTGAGGAGGCTGTTCCTGGGCAGTAAAAAAAGCTTTACTAGATTTGTTGCCTTGGTTGGCAGGTTTGGGGTCCAGGCTGCACTGGGGCATTCCAGTCAGTCGGCTTCCTCAAGGATTTAGTGCTCTTATTCTAGCTTCGATGTTGTTTCGGAGTGTCTTGGGTCTCCCAAGTCTGCCAGTGGCCACTCAAACAAGACAATTGGTTTCTATGTGCCTGGAGCCACAGAAGATGGACAGTGAGGAATAAGAAATGATGGAATCGTGGCTCATTGTCTCCATGAACAAGTGCTGCCTTTGGCACGATGCTGGAAGAACTGGATCATGCCTGACTATTCCTAAACAGTTTGATCAGTGATTTTATAGAAAAATCCTGATCAAAAGGGGAAATGCAGACAGAATTCCAAATTCTCATGGAGTGCAAGCTTTGAGGAGTCAAGGGGGCTGCAGGACACTCTTCCCAAATATACTCTTGTATACTCTTTGAAACATAGACAAAAAATATTCTCTGAAGTAAAATGTATACAAAAAATAATCTGGAAGCCAGACAGCAGTTTAGCTTCACTAGTGACAAATGTTTGCCTTCAGCATTTAGGCTCTTTTACGAGTTATCTGTGTAGGACCAACATGATAACATCGACTGGAAAGATTAGATAGGGACTTTGGGGACAGTGAGTTTATGCTAATAGGGGAGAAACAACAAAAGGAGGTTGAGAATTATGCTCTTCTTGAAGCACAATAAAATAAGCACAAAAATAACCACATCTTAAAAAGAAGATGCAGATATGTCGGAATTCAGCATAGATGTTAGATGCCTCTCTCGATTCCCCATTATTGATCGCTGGCCTAGATTTGAATGGCACATATAGCCTGTCCCATTATCATTAGTAATCTAAACTGATGATCTGTTTCGGTAGTTTTGGCATCACCGTGGACAGTCATTCTCGGGAATAATGCCAGCTACAAGAAGCCAAGATGATTTTCGGAATGTATTCACTTCTAAAAGTGTTTCTCATCGGGTTGGTTCCCGGACCTCCAGTGGGCCACGGCATCTCTGAACTGTACCCCCTTCTGAATATTGTGAAATTGTCAACGTTCTGCATGCAAGTCACCATCGTGCCTGATTTGGGGTCACCTGGTTGATAGGTCTGAAATGGCAGCTGGCATGTGGTCCTGCATAGGAGACCACATTCTGTTCCACAAACACTGCTCATTGCACAAACAGTGCAAGAAGCCTGTGAATCATTCAGGAGACAAAAGGCTCCTGGCCGTGTCTGGAAAGGAACAAAGCCACCCCAAGCCTTGTCGAGGCAGTTGCTTGCCTCCTAGTCCTTTGTCAGGGCAGTTTAACTTCCACGGTGCCGTTGTTTCTTATGGGATTGTCCCTCTGTGCAGAGACAGGTCTCACCCACAAACCTCAGTGAGTCCTAATTCCTACTCTACAGACACAGGCGCAGCCTGGGTTCTCCCAGATGGTGGCCTTTCCCTCCCACTTGACTCCACCCTTGCTTGATTCTTCTCAGGCAGGCCCATCTGGGACGAACCCACGTTGCTTTGTCTTTGACGCACCCCCGTCTTCTATTCGGTTCTCTCGCTTTCTTTCTCTGCATCCTCGGGCAGTTTTCATTCCCGGCTCCTTTCGACTCCTTTTCTCGCAGAACGCGTTGGCAAAGGCTCTGATAGACACCTTGGCACTGGAGTATAAATGACTGATGAGAGAGGTGTTTCTGCTCCCAGGAGTATTTGCATTGGAGCAACGAGCGACGTTTCGAATGGTGGAATTGTAGATCAGTGAGCCAGGTGGGGGAAGGTCTTGGGAGGGAGGAACCTTCTTCAGGCCCCCAAGCAGAAAGGGTAGGCTCCTGAAGACAGCTTCCTTCCAAGGTAGCTTGAGCTGGGAGGCCCAGGCTGCTGGGCGTGGGAGAGAATGGTCCCAGGCCCGAGACGCTGGCCTGGCTCCATGTTCAAAGTTTGAATTCCTGGGGCCCTGTCTGAAAATCCCGAGCAAGAGTCTAGCTTATCCCCAAGGAATGTTTACGGATATCACATTTGTGGGAGATGGTTCATGATTTTGTTGTTCCCTTCAGCTGGTTGGATGGATACTGCTTCAATGTGCAGGCTTCCCGCGCTTGCCTTTTGGTCACTGTGGGGACACATCCAGGGTCCCCTCGTGTAGGTCAGTTCCTGCTGACGAGAACCTCTATTTTCATCATTTCCCAGCTTGTCTAAATCAGCAGTGTTTTTGATACTCAAATGCCGATCTCTGGGTAAATGGGAAATTATTAGAGTGCAGTGAAATTCCTGCCGGCTTGGAGCACACATTCATGAGCACATCCCTGCCAGATGAGGTCACCCCAGTGGATGTCAAGGCGGGGGCAAAGCCACAGTGCAAAGCCACCCTTCTCATTGATTTCTTCCCTTCCTGGGTGTGCAAGCCAACCCACAAGTGCTTGCGCGTAAGATGGGGTAGATCTGAAACCATTCCAGCGCCATTGTTCAAATAACCAAGCTCCACAGCACTCGAAGCAATGAGTATCATTTTTTCCTAAAAACCAGTGAACATTTGTAGAGACTAGTTTTGGTTTCTGTGTCTAGCCTAGGGAATGGTGCTCGCTTCGGCAGCACCTATACTGAAATGGGAATGATACAGAGAAGATTAGCATGGCCTCTGTGCAAGGATGACACGCAAATTAGTGAAGCGCTCCACATTAAAAAACAAAACAATTACCGTGCATTTTATCTTCTATAATGCTTGCATGCAGATGGGGTCCATTGATGGCTTAGTGGTAGAATCCTCACATTCTGTTCAAGTCTCAACCAATGTACCTTATGCTCATGAGCCCCCCTCCCTCCACCATCTGTCAGAGGAGACTTGTATGTTGTGAAGATGCTGAGGAGCTTACAGTTCTCCATGACCAGGACTCTGATTATAGTGTAACATTTATGAAGCTTAGCAACATCGCACTAAGTCAAAGAAGCCAATTGTGAAAGACTTTCTATTGCATGACTCTTGTGGTAGCCACATCCAAAACAGGCAAAACTATTGTCAGAAAGCAGGCACAGTAAAAAAGTGTTTGTGCTGTGGATATGAAAGTAGAGGTAAAATGTGTGTGTGTGTGTGTGTGTGTGTGTGTGTGTGTGTGTGTGATTGTCTTACCCTGGATTCTGCAAAGGAGTGAAACCAGTGAAAAGAATATATAAATGTTTACAGAGAGATTTACTTTAAGGAAGTGGCTCACACAATTGTAGGGGTTGGAAAATTCCCAATCCGTGGGTCCTGCAGCAAGTTGAAGAACTCCACTGGTTCATCGGGTGTAGGAGCTGGCAAATTCAAAATCTGCAGCTCATCTGGCATGCTGGAGATGGGTGCAGGTTTGTATCCAAGAACCAGGGGTCAGGTTATGCCCAAGAAGAGTGCAGGATCGAGAGAGAGTACATGAACTTTGCCAGAATGTCCATTTATGTACTGAAGACAGGCACACTTCCAGGGAAACTCCCCTTCAAATGATTGGCTGGTCAAATCACATTACATGGCATAAGAAAAAGTGATTATGTATTATAGCATGTGATATTTTATAATTGGCTATGCAAAGGAAAGTCAACCAACTGTGCTGCTAAAAACAAATTATGGACAACATAGAAGATCATGGGTATTCCAGAACATTTAATTATGCTCACATTGAAACTGTACATAGACATTCAGGACAAGGGGATACTTATAGTTTAAAATCAGGAAAGGTGTGAGTCTGGATTGTATCTTTCTACCATACTTAGTCAATCTGTATGTGGAGTATATAATGTAAGAATTGGACGGTAGGAAAAAGAACATAGCATCAGGATTGCAGGAAGAGTTATTAATACGCAGATAAGGTGACCTGGAGGTTTCATTAATGGTTACAAGCTGGGCTGCGATCTGGGAGTCAGCAGTTCAAAACCACCAGCTGCTCCAAGGGAGAAATTTGGGGCTTTCTACTCCTGTGAAGATGTGCAGTCTCTGAAATTCACGGGGCTGTTCTACTCTGTCCCTTAGGGTCACTCTGAATGGACAGCAACTTGGTGGCAGTGAGTTTTTGGCTTGGATATGCAGATGACACAGCCTTGTTTGCTGAAAGGCAAGAGAATTATTGGTGAAGGTCAAAGACTGCAGTCTTCACTCCATCTCAATGCAAAGGAGAAAAACTCTCGTAACTGGACCATGATAAACAGAAAAGACTGGCCTTATCAGGGATTTCATTTTACGTAGATCCAGAATCAATGTCATGGAAGCAGCAGCCATGAAATTAAATGGCATGTTACCTTCAGTAAATCAAGTGTACAAGACCTCTTTAAGGTGTTAAAGAGCAAAGAGGTCACTTTGAGGACTGAGGTGTGCTTGCTCCGAGTCATGGTTTTTCCGTCATCTCCTGTATGTGAAAGCGGGACAATGAAGAAGGAGACAGCGAAGCTCAGTGCATGTGGGTTACAGTGTTGGCAAAGAAGATCGCAAGTGCCATGGACTGCCGAGAACCCACACGTCCATCCTGGAAGAAGCAGGAGAGCCCTGGATGACACACTGTCTTCTCGTGTCCCTTGGATATGTTCTCAAGAGCGTCCAGTCCCTGGAAAAGGACATCGTACTTGGCCAAGTCGAGGGACAATGAAAAAGAGGAAGCTCATCTCTGGGACGATTGGCTCAATAGTTGCAACAACAGACTTCCGCATAGCAACAATTGTCAGGATGGAGCAAGAATGGGCAGCGTTTTCTTCTGCGGTACATCGATAGGGTCACTATGAGTTGGAACTAATTCAATGCCACCTAGCAATAACAACAGCCTTGTGTTATGGAGAAGCACCCAGTCCAGTGTCTGCCAAACCACTGAGTTCAAGTTGAGTCACGGCCTCCTTCCTAACAGCCTCGCTAGGTTGGCACACAGCATTAACTATGACAGTGGTCTCCGTTGGGAAGTACAGTGGAAATGAAGGCAAGTGGGGAAGAAATAAAACCAAGAAGCTTGAGGTGGACACCCCCTAAAGTAGCCCCAGTGATGAACTCATGCAATCCCCTCCTCCTGAATGTGGGGATGACTTTCTTCGAACCACTAAACGGAACTCACTGCCATGAGTCCATCCTGATTCAGGTCGACCCTACAGGACACGGTAGAACTGCCCCGGTGGGCTTCCAAGAATAAGTTTAAAACATTTTTTTTGAAATATTGATAAAAGATCCGTTTTAATCCTTCTTTAAATATTTTAAAAAATCATTTTATTGGAGGCTCTTACAACTTTAAAAAAAATCCATCCATTGTGTCGAGCACATCTGTACATATGTTGCCGTCATCCTCTTCAAAACATTTTCTTTCTCCTTGAGCCCCCGTTATCACCTCCTCATTTTTCCCTCCCTCCCCCACCCTCCCACCCTCCCACCCTCATCAACCCTTGATAAATTACAGATTATTATTATTTTCATAGCTTACACCATCCACTGTCTCTCTTCACCCACGTTTCTGTTCTTTGTCGCCCTGGGTGGATGGGGACATGCATCCGTTGATCAGTGCAGTCGGTTCCCCCTTTCTCCTCACACCTTCCCCCTACCCTCATAGTATCGCCACTTCCATTCTTTTTCCTGAGGGAGTTGCTGTCCTGGATTCTGTGTGGCGAGAGCTCTTATCTGTACTGGTGTACATGCTGTGGTCTAGCCAGATTTGTAAGGTAGAACCAGGGTCATGATAGTAGGAGAGAGGAAGCACTAAAGAACTAGAGGAAAGGTGTATATTTTATGGGTGCTATACTGCACCCTGGCTGGCTCCTGCATTCCTTGTGACCCTATTGTGAGGGGATGTCCAATTGTCTACAAATGGGCTTTGGGTCTCCCCCCTCTTGTTTGCATCGATATGATTATTTGATTTGGGTCTTCTGATGCCCGATACCCGATCCTGTCGACACCTGGTAATCACACAGGCTGGTGTGATTCTTCCACGTGGGCTTTGTTGCTTCTGATTTAGATGGATGCTTGTTTATCTTCAAGTCTTTACGGCTCCAGATGCTATATCTTTTGATAGTCAGGCACCATCAGCTCTTTTCACCACATTTGCTTATGCACCCACTTTATCTTTAGCGATCGAGTCGGGAAGGTGAGCATCATGGAAGGTCAGGTGATTAGAACAAAGTGTTCTTTCGTTGAGGGAGTACTTGAATAGAGGCCCAATGAAGACTAACTATTTATGGGAGTCGAAATCCTTGTTTTTCTCCATGGAGTGACTGACAGTTTCAAAATAATAACCTGGTGGTTAGCAGCCCAATGCTTAACCACTGTGCCACTAGGGCTCCCTCTCCTAACCAATAGTCCATAGTAAATGTGGTGGGATATAGTTCCCACGCTTATGCTTCATTATTTAAATCTCAGTTATAGTAGACTGGAGACTTTCCTTCTGGCCTTGAAGAATCAGGGCGCTATGATGAGAGCTGCATAAGGAGGGGCCATGTGGCAGGGAACTCCAAGTGACCTTTAGAACTCAAGGGTGGGCTCCCGTTGACAACCATTTAGAACTCAGGCCCTTGGACCCCACTACTACAAAGAACTAAGTTCTGCCAACAATCACATGAGCTTGGAAATGGACTTCAAGCTCCAGAAGGAATGTAGCTCAACCAGCATCTTGACTGTAGCCAGAGACACCCTGAGCAGAGGACCCATACAAGCCATGCCTGGGACCTGACCATGGAATCTGCAAGACCATAAGTGGATGAGGTCTTAAGCTATTAATTAGTGGTATTTTGTGATGCAACAATAGAAAACAAACACAGAGCTGTTGCAGGAAGAAAAAGGGATTTTCGGGATGCCTTCAGTTGGAGGACTTCTGGAAGAGGATGCTCAGAAAGCTGACAAACCTGAGTAAGGATGGGGACGTGGCTGTCAACATTTGCAGAAGGCAGGTGAGGCCAGCCAAGGCCAAATACATCACAGAAGGCAGGCTCTTCTTTCAGCTCCAAGCCTGAAGCTCATAGTTCACTGATAAACTGGGAAGGCTTCATCCAGGGGCGGGGGGAGGGGGGGACAAAAATATGGACTGTAATTATAATAGTGGTAACAATGATAATACTAATAAAAACAATAGCTTGAAATGACTCTATGCCAGGCACTGAGCTATGTCTTACATTTGCAACATTTCATTATAAAGAGAAAATATACGATAGATTCTGGCTCAGGATTCCGGCTGTGAAGCTTCCAGATGTTCACTCCATCAACTCCCCAGCTTTGCAACCTTCACCAACCCACTTCACACCCTCCTCTCAACTTGGTAGGTTGGCTCTGACTCCCGCTGACCCCGTGCTCAACAGAAGGTGGCATTGCCTTCTCCTGCATCACCTGGATGGTCCTTTTGGCAGCCACAGTCAAACAGAGTCCATTGTCACGGCCACTGTGTATTTTCAGTGCTTTCCAATGCCGGGGGCTCACTTTCCAGCGCTTTATTGGACGATATTCTGTTGTGATCCACAGGGTTTTCATTGACTAATTTTCAGCAGTCAATGGTGAGATCTTTCTTCCTACCCTGTCTTTCTCAGAGCTCCCTGGATGTTATGGGGGGCCCTGCTGGCATTTGAAATTTCAGTAGCACTGTTTTCAGCATCATAGCAATGCACAAAGCACCGCAGTACAACAGATGGATAGATTGATGGCGACCTCTCCACTTACCCATCTGTAAAATGGGTCTGTAGTCTGTATGTCCTGCTTGATGG